GTAGCAAATCCTGAGACGCTTCTTTTGCGAGGACAGAGAAATCCGACCTGTTTCGGACAGCAACAGCGAGTACCATTCCGACTTTAAAGAAGTCAGAGGGAGGCCCAGCATGCACTGCGAAAAGCTTCTGCAGGACTTCAGAGGAGAGGCTACAGTACTCGCTGCCAGCGACAAAGCGAATTAGGGGCAAAATATCAGCAAGCCTAATGAAAGCCAGCGTAAAAGCAACAAGCAGTATGCAATTTATCTGAGGCAAGTTGACTACATTCCAGTAAACGGTACATAAAAACAGCCCTTGTAAACTCTTCTCACGTGAGCGCACACAGTAATTACATTGGCACAGACTACTCTGGGATATACGTCCTTTTTCATGTTATTTTAGATAAAAAAAGAAAAGTTGCATTTTAATTCAGGCTCTGAAATGCCAGTAAACAAATGCATTTTCCAATGGTACAGTAATATACCTTTTAAGCTCAACAATATCGGCTATACAGTATATACTTATACCTTGGTATGATGGATATGCCCTTAATTTGCTCAAATTTATTGCAGTATTTTTTTTTAAAAAATGTAATTTTGTATAACTGAGGATACACAGCTTTAAACAGAGTTTTATGTGGCACTGGTGGAAATGTATAATTCTTTGATGGCCACTGTGTAACCCTACACCGGTCATGATGAGTGTATACAATGTTACGTATCCACCACCTGGGCAGACTGTCCGAAATGGGGATTTGTATTCTACTGCTGCTGTTTCATCTCTCCTGTACTCTTTGACTGTTATGACATATAAGAATCGAGGGGAAAGATGGTGAAGGGCTATGAACTTCCTTTGCTGTCATTTTTCAGGGGTTTAATCTCCCCATGCAATACTCTTCGACAACTGAGAGCAGGAATTACTTTCTTACAAGAAACTCACCTTCACTCATCAGATGCATTCCATGTTCATCGGACAGGGCAGGGCAGGTCTTTCATTACAAACTGGTAACAGGAGGAACTACTACTACTACCAAACAGACTAGATGGCCTTTTTCCCTTTGTAACCATTGTTATGTTTGTGGGCTAAACCCATTAGGGGCCAGTTCCTGTCCACAAGTCTTAATAACATGGGAAAGGTTATATACACGAGGAGACTGTTAGAACCATCTCATTCATTGGGTTGCTGGTAAATCTTTAGTCTTCTAAAAATTCACTCCCTTTCTCGAAGGATCCCAGAGTCAGTTTGAACCCCAGGGCCAAGGAGCTGGTTCACAATCCGTTGTGTAAAGAAATGTCTCCTGTTCTCTGTCTTAAGTGGCCTTACACATAATTTCCAGTTGTGTACCTGGGTCCATGCTTCGCTGAAGGTCTTAAAGAAGTCTCTGCAGTTGACTTGTCCAGTGCCATATAGGGTTTAGCACAGAGCTGCAGGCATGATTCTGGATGCAGTCGTGGGCTGTGTGCATGCCTCAGTGTGCACAGGACAATAGTACCTTTATATTCAATGCTTTTGTCACTCCTACCAGAGCTGAACTCTCATCACCATTCCTGTATATGTGTTCTAAGCCCATATTCAACTCAACTGCTCATCTAAGGCTCTGCAGCCCACAGAAACTGCCCTAATTTACTCATTTTTTACACATTTAAGCAGTTTCATATCCCCAGTTGTATCCTATTTTCCAATGTACTGTAAGGCGCATTGTACATTCCATGTTGCGGTCATGTCGCACCGCACCACTTTAGAGCTCAATTTATCCAGCCAGTCTGCTCCATGCACTAATCTGACTCTTCAATTACCTACGTCACTGAGTTGAGTTGCCGACATATTAAGCTTTTCTTTGATGCAAGCGCCATTCTTCAAGTCTGTTCCTCGACCTTATAAGCATCAATGAAGACCTACTTACAAGGACAAATTATCTTGTACAAAACACTAACCCAGGATATTCAGATGTACTTAAGTCTCCAGGTTGTTAAGAACAAGGAAAAAGTCCTACTTGTCCAATTAAGCCAATAATTAAGTTCAATGAAGTAATTAAGGGCTCAGGTGGAAAGAAAACATATTTCCTTCTTTGTACCAAGCATTTAGCCTCTTTACTAATATAGACAAATGAAAGATCCCCTCAACTGTAAATTATCATCCTATATCTCTTGTTAATGTCAATGTTAAGATTTGGGCTAAAATTATGGTGAATGGGTTTTTTCTAATAATTGTAGGTCATTGAGCATTATTTACAATTGCAAAAACTTGTAATTAACTCGTCTTGCAACATGAACAATTTGAACATTGTTGATGCAGAGAAAGCTTTTAAGCATTTTTTTTTGCATGCTCAGTACATGTTGTTCTGGTCTTAATTGTAGCTCATGTATCAGGTTAATCTTAGTTATATGTTTGGACTTGTCCTAGATTAGACTTCTGTTTTGGGGGCTTTTCCTACTGGTCTGTGTATGCTGCTCTTGTCCAGTCCTCTCATTCCTGTCTTCAGCATAATCCCAGGGGATATTCATCTGTCCATCACAGTCCAATCTTCCAACATATGCATCTACTCTAGGTATACATCTCTGTCCTTTCACACTGTAATCAGGCTTCTCTACCTTCGTTTGCACAGAGGATGAGAGATACAACACACTTCTTTCACCAAGGAAACATAAAATACATATTGCAGGGCTGCAGATACATATTTTAAACTACTATAACCTTTCCCACTTATTACCTGAACCACCTTTGACCCAATTAGGAAACTTGTTAGGAGCAGGTGTCCTCCCACATTACTTTATGATTCGTAGCTATCCTTACAAAGCCCACTGCAACAACTAACGTAAAACCCACTTTTAAAAGCAAAACTACTATTTATTAACGTATTCAACCTCTCATCTTTTCACTTAAAGCGAAACATCTCCTGACACATTTTATATGCTTCATTATCTGTTGTTTGTCTTTCCCTGGTCTGTTAAATTTTGAAAACTTTATAAAACTATAAACATGCGTAACAGCAATATGTATTCTCTGACCCATAAAAAGAATAACTGACCCAGTGCATTCTGGATAAACACATTTTTATTTAAAAGTGGTAAATTTTACATTATTTATTACCCCTGGGGCTTTTTAAGAAGATGGAAAGACACTGGATGTCATTAGTTATTA